GCAAATAATCAATACGTGAAGGGTTACGACCCAAGCAAACCAACCAATCATATTCTCTACCTCGATGCCAACAACCTGTACGGTTGGGCCATGAGCCAGTATCTACCCACAGGGGGATTCGAATGGGCATCGCACGAGGTCGATGTTATGAGCATCGCGGACGATTCGAACAAAGGTTATATCCTCGAGGTTGACTTAGAATACCCCAAGGCATTACACACATCACACAACAGCTACCCCCTGGCCCCCGAACGTATGAGGGTTAACCCAGACTGGATGTCTGAGTACCAACATAACTTGTTAGGTGGGCGGGTGACAGACGTTGAAAAACTCGTGCCCAACTTAATGAATAAGACCAAGTACATCGTTCACTATCGCAACCTACAGCTGTACCTGTCGTTGGGTATGAGGCTGACCAAAATACACAGGGTGCTCGTGTTCAACCAGAGCCCCTTGATGGAGCCATACATCAGAATGAACACAGACCTCCGAAAGCTTGCCACCAGTGACTTTGAGAAAAATCTCTACAAGCTCATGAACAACTCGGTGTTTGGTAAGACTATGGAGAACCTGAGGAAACGCGACCGTGAAGCTGGTTCGGTCGAATGAGGAAGACAAGCTCAGGAGGCTGATAGCCAGTCCGCATTCAACCGTAGCAAGATATTCACCGACGACCTGGTTGCCCTACACATGAAGAAAAGCCACATAAAATTCAACCGGCCTGTTTACATGGGGATGAGCATCCTCGATTTATCCAAACACCTGATGTACGACTTTTACTACAACGAGCTTAAGAAACAGTACACGACGACAGGTGTGAAGTGCTGTACACTGACACGGATTCCCTGCTGATGGAGATTCGAACCGAGGGCGTGTAATGCGAGGACATGAAAAAACGCCTCGATTTGTATGACACCAGTGACTACCCCAAGGACCATGCCATACACAGCACAGTAAATAAAAAGGTCTTAGGTAAGATGAAGGACGAGTGTGCTGGCACGCCCATAGCCGAGTACATAGGCTTGAAGCCTAAGATGTACTCCATCCTGAAGGCCGACAATGGTGAGATTCGGAAGAAGTACGTGGTGAAACAACACATCAAACACGCCAGATTCAAGGAAGCCCTGTTCAAGACCCGTACCTTTAGACATAAAATGAACACACTTAGAAGTGATGGGCATAGGATATACGGACTGACGATAAACAAGACGTCCCTGTCGCCGATGGACACTAAGCGTTGGATAGCTATTGATGGGATCAACACGTACGTGTACGGGCATGAGAAAATTGAACCAAGAACATAGGTGTACATATCGGGGTGACGACGATGTCACGGAACCAGAGAAAGTTTGAGGCAATTTACTACAGCCCGCGTGGGTACTGGAAAGGAGTTAGCGCCGTACATATGCTGGCTAAAATGGCGCTAGTACCTCCGGAGGAGTCCAAAGCGTGGCTTGAAAAACAAGCCCTGTGGCAGATCTATTTACCGGCACCACGCTACGTGCCTAGAAGGAAATTCGGCATTAACATACCCAACAGCGTTCACCAGGCCGACCTCCTATTCCTACCCCACGATAAGAGGTATAAGTATGCCTTAACCGTCGTGGACGTGGCCAGTCGCTACAAGGAAGCCGAACCCTTGACCACGAAAGACTCGGCCCAGTTCATGGGTGCCATGTCACACCTGCTGGATAAACACGATACAAAGGTCAGGCGTGGCACGGCCGGAGCCCATCGCAGCCAAGCCATAGTTGAGAGATTCAATAGGACTTTGGCCGAGCGCTTATTCGGGCATCAGTATGCGAGAGAGATGGCCAACCCGGGAAAATGATCGACTGAATGGGTAGCTCGGTTACCTCAGGTGGTGCCGGCCATAAACCACGAAACCACTCGTCTCACCGGCAAGAAACCAGCCGACGTTATCAAACTAAAATCAATAGTGGCAGAGTCGGCTGCTCCATTGCGTGGGAAGGAGAAACAGATACCAGATAGGGCCCTCGTGAGGTACCTATACCAGCCGGGGGAACACGAGGGTGATAGCCGTAAGCGAGCCACTGACCAAATATGGTCAGTCAAAACTTACAACATAGATAAAGTGGACATCAAAGCAGACGAGCCGAACTTGTACTATTTGAGAGATGGGCCAGGTAGAGGGTTTGTTAGAGAGGAATTATTGATCATACCGTACGGTACAATGTTACCTCCTGCCAACGTGGCATAGTGTCAGAGTAGTGCCACGTGTGGCCGCGGGAAATTAACGGGGGCTCAAAAGTAGTAGATACAATGGTGGCGAGATCTAAGGGCCTGACAAAAGCTTTATTTGTGAAATAAGGCTTTGCAGAGGCTTTTGTTGGACTTGATCCTGTACCGCTATTCCCCCTACTACTACTACAGTACAACCAGAAATTATTGAGAATTTAAAGATTGTAATTTTTTTTAACTTGTTCACTCATTACTCACGTATTAAATGTGAATATTAGCAGAACATAACTCAATGCGGCGGGGCATACTACTGATCAAAGAAGTTAGAAAGTCGTGGTCCATGCTGTCCCAATATCGGACCACCTCTTCTTTCATTTCAGCAATATTTGTCAGATTTTTTCTTATTGACACTTTCCTTCATAAGTCCCCAAACATTTTCTATTGGATTATAGCTTGGCCGATCTAATGACATCATATTTTGGGTCCGAAATCAGGCCTGTGAATGCTTTGAACGATATGAAAAAAATTCCATAGAACATGTGAGCAGATGGAAGGAAATGTCCCTCGAGAATATCTGTGTACCGCTCACTGTTCATATTCCCTTCAAATACACAGAGGGGCATTGCCCCTAACACAGATATGCCACCCCACACATTAAATTTTGGACTGTACTTTGGGCGTTGATACAAAGGTTTTTCAGTTTGTTTGGTCCAGAATTTCAGTGTATTAGGAAACAGCCACACAGAACTTTCATCTGAGAAAATCACATTGTCCAAGTTAAAATTTTTATGCTGTAAGCACCAGTTCAACCTTCGCTCCTTTTGTTCAGGTTTCATGATCGGTGATGGAATTCCACGACCTTTCTGCCAACCCATTGCATGCAGCTCAGTTCTAATTGTCTCCTTACAGACAGCCACAGTTCCTCTATCAATCAAATCCTGCCTTAAGTTTTCTAAACTTCTTCATTTGTTTTTAGAAGCAAGAATACCAAGCTGCCTCCTGTCACCGACAGTCAATTTTCTGGGCCTACCTGCGCCTCCCTGTGCTCAATGCCATATCCATTTGCAATATTTTTCAAAACACGATAAACAGTGGACAAAGGGATGCCTGTTCTACTTTAAAATCACTTTAGCTGATCTGATGTCCTTGTTATAATACTCTAAAATCAACTTCCTCTTCTCTAAATCATCCATACTGAGGATCACTGAAAATGTCGTTGGCTAGCAAGTGAACAAAGGGGAATAACTTCACAAACTAATGAAAAAAGGATTAACAGAGTTGTCTCTCTCCAATGAAACCAAGCACTAGATAGCTGGTCAAGGCAGAAATCCAATTAAAATTCTAAATAATTTCTGGTCATACTATATATAGTAACGAGCAGAAAATATGCGAAAAAAACCTTTATTCTGTAGACTCGATCCTACTAGCAAAAAAGCCGAAATACATTGTTTCTAGCCGCCAGTAGCTTGCCTCGTTGGTATGGAATTTTCTCCCTAGGGTTCAGGGATGGCTTCATCATGTGACCTCGTTGCTAGCAGACGATACCGAAGCTTTGCCATGACGTTACAAAACAGAAATCGAATCTTGGCATATTATGAAGCAGGTATTACATCCGTAACTAGTCTTGTGAAACTGATGGGACTGCATTGGGCCTCTGTTTACCGAAATTGGAAGAAATTTGACGCAGGGTTAGGACAGAGCGACAGGCTGGATCGGGACATCGTGCTACTCTTGGGGCAAATGACAGACGACGTAACTAAGTAAAATTTCAGATATTTTTAGCAATGGCAAAGTGGGGTTGTTTAGTTTATGGATTCAAATATATCAAATGTGTTTGATATCATATCATAGCATAGGTAATAGACATCATATTTGTATATGATTAATATCGAGGTAAAAAACACAAATAGGATCAAATTGGATCAGTCACTATGCCATCCAAGCATATGAAAATCTGAAAAAGCCTACACTGCTGGGATACTTTAGACAACTACCAGGATATTTTCAATAAGGGCATCTGATGGGCATCCACCCTTCCTAATGTCCCACTGATTAGGTTGAAGAAATTCTGCCAAGGTGGACAGTAGCCCAGTCCCCATGTCTGTCACCGTCGAGGGAGCAAGGGCTGACCAGTTTGCAGCTAGGTTTCTTAATTAGACTGTTGTCTGGAAACATTAATCGCTCTGGATCAGTGCCCCTTTAAATAGAGTGATGCCAGCTTTCCAATCGACTGAGGCGAATCGCAGTCCTGTTTTGTGTTGAAGTTGTATTAAGAGATGGACATGTAAATATAGCACCTGGAGTTGAGTCATATGGCTGGAATATTGCTGAGTGCATTTAATTGGGTTAATCATTGTATGAATGTGTGCCAGTGCATGAATGTGATGGAGACATTTTGAAGGCACATTCATCTGACCCCTCACTCTTTGACGACCAGGTGAGTGTAGAGTCAGGCTTACATCCACGAGGACAACATGGACTGACTGACTGAGTTTAGTTTTACGCCGCTTTTAGCAATATTCCAGCAATATCACGGCGGGGGACACCAGAAATGGGCTTAACACATTGTGACCATGTGGGGAATCGAACCCCGGGTCTTCGGCGTGACGAGCCAACGCTTTAACCACTAGGCTACCCCACAGCCCCCGAGGACAACATGGAACAGGCATAGGGCTAACAATTTATGTGTCATTTGGGGGTAGCACTCCAATCCAGAGAAACACAGAAGTTTTCTTTCTGACTAATGTAATAATTTGCACACTACTTCTTGCCCTGTTCTGTATAGTAAATAAAAACAATTTTTACCACAAACACATACAAATTTATTGCAATATTTGTTCATGATAAAAAAAACAAAAATTGATTTAAAAAAAAAAAGCCTAGGTGTTCCAGACAGTTTGAAAACCATCATCCAGTTTCATATTGTGAAAGGCATGTACTGCTGCACAACAAGTTACATTCAGGTCATTATCAAAGCAAAGGCATAAATGCTGGTACTTGCATTACCAAAGGTGAACACAATGACATATTGCAAAGAGGCTAAGTGTGCATTAAGGGAATTAGCATGCCATATAAAAATCCAATTGCATCTGTAACAAAACAGTTGAGCCAGTTTAAATTTGAAACATTACAAGGCCTCATGTGCAAAAAAAACCATTTGAGCATGTGAGAATTCAACCTTTAATGTTGACTTATGGTAGATTAAGATTGTTACAATAGTAATAAATAACCAAGATATCACTAAAATTGGTTTAAAAAGTATATTTAGTATAATGAATCATATCAAAATGCATTCAGATTAAATACATTAAAAATATTTTTTTGTGGGTGTTATATACTATGTGATTTATGAACAATAGGCAGTGATCTTTGTATAGTATCTATAATACATTGTTAAAAACACCAGGATGGGTTTCTGAAAAATCTTTCCTCCTCCTCCTCATTAAAACCGACAACTGATTACCAGGTAAACAGTTTACAATTTAACCAAGAAGTGTACAGCAAAACATGCATGTGGTTGTGAACAGATGATCAATAGTTAAAAGTGCTGTCTGAATGCTGGCTGCAATGAGACAACACCATGAAAACAATTTGTTGTATTAATCTACTACTATGAGATGAGCACAAAACATTACCCCCCTTCCAAAGTAACTGACAATCAATCTAACAAGCAAACACTACATTGCACTAACAAAGGAGCAGCAAGGCCTGGAATGATGCTTCTTTGACTGTTAACAGAAGCAGCTGAGGACAAACATCTTACTAAACATCACAAGACAATAGGTACGCCATATGCATTATATGGTGAGAAATGACTCAAACACTGTCCTCCTCTGCTATTGTGAAACTTGGTGGTTTGCCTGCATGGATGTCCTGTAAGTCTAACATCAATATGTCACTGAGCAGTAACAGCATCTAAACTTGTTACTGTCATTGCTGCAATCCCGGCGTCTACTTGTTTGGTCATTTGCTTGATTACTGCTTGATCATCTGAGTCTGTTAGGTTCTGGTCCACCAAATGTTTGCTCCCTTCCTTAGGCTGAAATCATACCAAAAAAAAGCTGGAAATGAAAATACTACCAATGGGCACAGGTCACCCTGTACTGCCATATTATGACATTATGGTCCCACTCTGTAATAATTAACACATAGGACAAGTTAGTTCCATCCTTTACATAAACACATTAGTGTCATATCATGATAGCTCACCTCACTATGACGGCAAGAATAGTTTCCACTTTACTAATCACATTTTCCATTAAAAGAATCGTGGTGAGTAATATTTCTATAATTTTGGGTGTGTCTTCAAGGCACTGTGTAAATATTTTATTTCTACCATTTCAATATTTATTGTGCCCTGGCACACAAATTAAACACTATATCAATCACTGTTAACTGACAGTTATCAGTCACAAATGAAGACTATGGACATGTCTGATATGCTGATATGCTGGGTAATCTGACAGGGAGGACGTGCACGCAACCCTCTCCGAGAATGGGGATTGATTTAGTGTCCTATCGTGCAAAAATTGGAACTTTCACTCAACCAAATAAATGCAGAAGGTCCGTAAATGGTTTCCAACTCCCTGGAAGAAAAGTTTCAATGACTATGCGTCTCCTGTTGCTGCTACTGACATTGCTGACCGCGTGTGGTGATGTTGAAACTAACCCTGGGCCGGGGCCCGACAAGGCAACCTCCCGAGTTACTCGACAAACAACATTGCTAGAAGGTGCAACCACCACGGAAAAGTTCACAAATGAAGACCTCATGAGAGTATTAATGGAACTAAAAAGTGATTTAAGTGGTTTAAATGAACGCACCACGCGCATCGATGAAAAGGTTAACAAGATGGCGACGCACATGGAAAACGAGCTGGACAACTTGAAAACTGAAAACAGACGTTTACAACAACAGCTACAGAACATGAGTGACAAACACGAAGACATGGAATCACGTTCACGGCGGAATAATCTTGTGTTCCACGGCATTGATGGGGATGCCAATGAAACTTGGGATATTTCTGAAAAGAAGGTTAGAATTTTCATGAAAGATACCCTAATGATAGAAAATATCAACGAACTCATTATATCGAGGGCGCACCGTATCTCACTGCGCAAGAAAGACTCACCAATTATTGTTCACTTCGTCGTGACAGCAGACAGAAATCATATAATTCGGACAGCACGGGAAAAGCTTAAGGACAACCAAAAGTTTAAAGTTTCTGAAGACCTTACGAAAAGAGTCCGAGAGGATCGCCGTGCACTATCCAGTCTCTTTACCGAGGCCAGAAACCAGGGGAAAACACCAAGGATACGCCAAAACAAACTATTAGTCGATGGGAAAACATACATGTATGACCGTAAAAATGACAAAGTTGTATGTGTGAGTGACCTCTCTAAACAGGACAATCTGCATCCTCGATCAGCTGATCCAACGAGTTTGTTTACATCACAGCCAAGGGAGAGCACTCTAAGCCTTAGTCTCAATGAAAACATGTGATGTTCCGGCCAGGGCCTGTACAATTGCAACATTCTCAGCTGGAACGTCGAAGGACTATATAAACATGTAAGTTCGAGTTATTCTGATCTCAAGCAACTATGTGAACGATTTGAGATTATCGGACTATGTGAATCTTTCGTTCGTGACGCAAAAGACTTTTCCGATTATCTATGTGGCTACTATACTTACAACAGTGTTCGCCCTAAACAGCATAAATCCGGCCGATACAGTGGCGGTGTGACTGTGTTTATCAAAGATGGTCTTGTGCAACATGGCAATGTGACTCGTATCTTTGGTGATTTCCAGGACTGTGTAGTTCTACACCTGAAAACCTCATATAGCACTATTGGGAAAGATCTAATTTTTATGTTTTTATATATATATCTCCTCAAAACTCACCTATTTATGATACAATGGAGACTGATGGGATAACCCGCCTTGGTCAATATCTTGAATCTATAAAAGACAGCTATCATGATACCTATATAATTCTTGCAGGCGATTTTAATGCCAGAATGAGCGACTTTCTTGACTTTATCCCTAATGATGATCTTACTCACATCCAGGATGACTGTGTTGACTATCCAGAGGATGTATTTAATATTTATAGAAAAAGTAGAGATAAGTGTTTTAACTCTTACGGTATCAAATTAGCAAATCTTTGTTGTACTTTTGGAATTCACTCACTTAATGGTAGACTATTGGAAGATGCTGATGGTAACTTTACATGTTCTACATATAACGGTACAAGCGTCGTTGATTATATCTTAGCATCTTCTGATTTATTTCAATATTTCACTGACTTTAAAATACTTGATAGAGATGACTCTTGTCATTTTCCTCTTGCTTGCACCTTGACAGTGGAAATTTTTTGGTAATGTTCAATGTCCAAGTCACTGAAATAGTTGTAGCAACAAGAAATCTATGCACACTAAATGTGATCCATGGATAAAATATGTGTGGAACAGCAACTCTGTGCAGCCATTTTTAAATAAGTTTCAGGATGTCTTTCTCTCTGATTATGATCAGTTATATAGACAATCAGAAGAAAATGTAATGAACTGTGTCTCAATATTAATAAACATGTACCAGACTGCTGCCTGTGACTTGAGGAAAATTCATAAACCTAAACAATCTTTAATTAACCCAGCTGGAGACTTGCAACCACCGTGGTGGAACAAAGACTTAGAGTGTGCTAAAGGAAGAAAATATGCAGCACTGAGGCTGCACAGAACTTTGGGAAATAGTTTTGATATTTATAAACAGCTACGTAAAGAGTTTAAATCTCTCTACAGAAGGAACAGACAAGAATACTTTAATCAACAAAAAATGTTACTGGTTAATTCTAGAAATAATCCCAGATCCTTTTGGAAAGTTCCCAGAAGGGGGAAAAAACCCAACTCACTATCTACAAACATTAGTCAGGATGATTGGTGTGACCACTTGGAGCACCTGCTCTTCAGGCAAAATGCTACTCTTGATTATTCAACATTATATTTTGTTGACCAAAATACAGAAGTGGTCTCAGACAGTTGTATAAACAGACCCTTCTCAGAGGAGGAAGTACTCTTGGGGCTAAAGAATCTTAAACTGAATAAGTCACCCGGACCAGATGGTTTGCAAAGTGAATTACTTAAAGCAACTAAAAATTACTTAACACCTATCCTAACAAGAATATTCAACTCTTTGTTGAACAATGGAACATTCCCCAAACAGTGGGGCACTAGTATAATCTGTCCCTTTCACAAATCTAACAGTATCCATGTGACGGATAACTATAGAGGAATATCTCTTATTGACTCATTCTGTAAAGTGCTTTGTGCTATTCTTAAAAGTAGACTTCAACGCTGGTGTGATATAAACTCTGTCTTGTCTGAAACCCAGGCCGGTTTTCGGCCAAACTACTCAACGGTGGACCAGATATTCTGTTTACAAGAGATGATACAAAAATATTTATCAAAAAAGGGTGGTAGAGTGTACTGTATATTTGTAGACTTTAAAAAAGCCTTTGATAGTGTTGATCATGAAGTATTATTTAAAAGTCTAATCAACATGGGAATCAAAGGGAAATTTCTTAATCTAATTGTCTCTATGTATTCAAATCTATCTGCTTGTGTTAGGACAGATCAGGGACTATCCAGGCATTTCAAGTGTAATATCGGTACCCGTCAGGGCTGTATCTTGAGTCTGTTGCTTTTTTGTAATCTTTATAAATCAGTTATCTCAAATGTTTGATAGTAGTGGTGGTAATGGTATCTTTATTACAAATGAATTCCCCAGTGTTGCAGCCCTCCTGTTTGCAGATGATGTGTCGTGTTTATCTGACACAGCTGTACAGTTGCAGAGGAAGATAAATGTGCTCGAGCAATTTTGTAATGATACAGGCATGAGTATAAACTTGAGTAAAACAAAAATTATGGTTTTTCGTAAAGGTGGTCCCCTACGCCACTATGAGAAATTGTTTTTTAAGGGCAGGAAAATAGAAGTAGTAAATGTATATAGATACCTAGGTGTTGTGTTTACACCATCTCTCTCATGGACTAAGGCTCAGTGCTGTCTTTCTGCTCAAGCACAAAAAGCTTGTATGTCATTGTATAACTATCAAAATAAATTTGGAGCAATTTCAAGTTTAGATATATTCAAAATTTTTGATGCAGCTATTTGTCCTATCCTTTCTTATGGAGCAGAGATCTGGGGCACATCATACTGTAGACAGATAGAAAGTTTGCAAATATACTTCTGTAAAAGGTTTTTGAAAGTGAGTAAATATACCAGCAATGTTATGGTGCTGGGTGAATGTGGCAGAGTTCCCCTACAATATCAGTACATGTCTAGATGTGTCAAATATTGGTGTAGATTGCTTCAGTTAAATACTCACAGGTTGCCATATCAGTGTTATCAAATGCTTATGTTATTGGATAAAGCTGGTAGAAATACTTGGGCCACATCTGTTAAAAACATTCTGTATCAGTTTGGTTTTGGTATTGTATGGTTATCCCAAGATGTAGGTAATGTAAATTTATTTATGTTTACTTTCAAACAAAGGTTGTATGACAGTCTATGTCAAGACTGGCATTCTTTAATATCCAATTCATCAAAGTGTAATGTATATAGTAAATTTAAGTCATTGCTGAATGTAGAAAGATACTTAAGCGTAGATATCCCATATTATTACAAGCATGTCATTTCCCAATTTAGGTGTAATAATTTCCGTTTAGCGGTTGAGTTAGGTAGGCACAAAAACATCAATTATGCTGACAGGATTTGTTCTTATTGTTGTACTAAAGGCTTACACTTAGTGGAGGATGAATTTCATGTTCTCTTAATATGTGAGAGATATGAAGATATTAGACAAGAATGCCTCCCTTCATGTACACTTGCTAATCGCAGTTTTGATACCTTTATTGGGATAATCTCTTGTAACAACACACACACTTTATCTTGTCTTGGACGTTTCCTCCATCATATAAAGAAAGTAAGAAGCAAACCTCATATTACAATCTGTAACTCATTATAGTCACAGTACTAATACCATGTAC